GAGCTTCCAACAGTTTGGTAGTGACAAGGGTACTTTTACCTCTAAGCTTTTATTTCTTTACCTTTACTTCCTCCTTGAACATTATTTTACTTATGAGGGACAGTTAAAGTTAAACTACTAAATCTAAATCAGTATGTTTACAGCGGGAAGGCTAGGGAGTGTTGGGGGGGGGGGGGGGAGGGGGTTAAGAGATCAACCAAAGGACTTGAATGCATGCATATAAGCATAACCAATGGACACAAGATGGGGGGGGGGGCGGGTAAGGGCATGTGCCCAAGGGTAGGAGAGGCTGGGGGAAGGTCAATGGTGAAAAAAAAGGAGACATATGTACTACTATTTGTAATACTTTAAACAATAAAATAAAATATTTTTTAAAAAAGCACGGGTGAGCAGGGCCATTAGTTACACTGTTGAACTCGGGCTTTCTTTGGGCACGTAGCCAACAACTGGCCTTGACCTGCAGAATAGAAACACCATCGTCTTCTAGTGGTGGCTCTGTGAAATGCAAGCTCAGCACCACAGAACAACTCACTCTCATAGGAAAAGAAATCTAAGCCTGTCAGGGTCACTCTGATTCACTTTGAAAATGTTTTACTGTTTAATGCTGCTACTAAAAAAAAAAAAAAAAAAAAAAAAAAAAAAAAAAACTCTTTTAGTCTTAGCTCAGGAATACCTTAACCAGCAAGTTTGCAAAGATAACAGCTGATTCCTGTCACGTGTACCTGGCAGGGCAAAATAGTTTACACTCCTTAAGTAGACATTTCTGAGAATCCACAGAACTAGTCAGTGTGAGTTCATAGCCAATTCCTGGGCGTAGTGTAAAATCAGTGCCAAAGATTTCTGCCTGAACACAAAATTGTACAAAGACTAAGAAATGTAGTTGCTATTCCCGGCTGAAACTAAAATTACCAGTTGACAGCCAACATCCCAACTATTTGTTCACCCTAACTATTTGTTGCAAAGACAGCAAACAGGTTCAGAAGCATTCACTGAAGGTATGCAAGGAAAGACGGCTCTCTAAGGCAGCAGTTCTCAAAATGTGGTCCAAAGACTCTTGAAGGTCAAAGTCTTTCAGGTCAAAACTCTTTTTATAATTATACCAACATGCTATTTGCCTTTTTCACCTTCATTCTCTTAGAAGTGCACAATGGAATATTCCAGAGACTACATGACATGTGATATCACAAGGCAGAATGAAGAACCAGATGTGGAATTCCAGCTATTTTCCATTAAGCCACACATTAGAGAGATTTTTTTTAAATGTAAATCGATACCATTTTTACTAATACTTTTATTTTGGGCAATATAGGTTTTTTAAAAAATGTTTTATGCTAACATATGTTTTTTTATTTTCTTAATGCGTTAATAAATACTGTTTAAGTTTCTCAGTTTTAAATTCTAATATGATAAATATAGAAGTAAGTGACCTGCAGTTCTTAATTTTTAAGCATTTTAAAAGGATCCTGATATCAAAAAGTATGAGAACTGCTATCCAAAGAGTTTTGAAATTATCTGTGAGGTACAAGAAAAAAATATCTACCTATTTGGTTCTTTCTAATGCATGAGACTTTACCTTGATAAATACATAAGCTTGAGATGCACATCTTATTAATTACAATAGAGAAAAACGTGCAGTCAATAGAAGACTGATTAGTCTTTGTTTCCTCACTTCTAAAATAAAATCATTCATTCTGTAATTTTTGAGGGAAGGTGAAGCAGACTCTCTGGAGATACTATCTTTGCTCTCCTGTTTCCCTTGAAGACACTGATCCACTCCCTCCCACCCCACTCTTTTTGAGAATTACTACATGTCACAAGAGCTGTTCCTACTGGGAGCAGGTTACACGTTGGAATGCTGAGAGGCTTCGGAGACAGAAAAAGTCTGAAAAACCCACTAAATTGAATTACCTTTAAGGTCCCTTCCAGATATAAAATTACCATCACTGCATGCGTGATGATACAATGACCTCCTTCCCTCCCACCGGGTACCACAGACTCTATCTGTGTAGTAGAGCTTTGCAATATGTAAGTGTATCAGATCAACACGATGGAAACCTTAAATTCATACACTTGTCAATTATATCTCAATAAATCTGGAGGGGGGAAGTTCAGGATGCCCAACCTGAGATGGTCTCTCAGAGTCAACAGTGGCTCTGGGATTCCTTGCTTATCACCAGGCGACGTGCGTTAGCATTTCCATGCAATGGTGTTATGGGCCATACCGAAGAGGAAATTCATTGCATTTCACCTTTTAGAAAAACAATTCTTATTTGGGCCAATTTTCCAACTTGGAAGCAGTAACAAAGGGAGTGAGGACTGTGCAATGACATTTTTGCCAACAGGGTAAGAAGGTTTTACTTTTGGGTCTAAAAAAGTCTTTTAAAAAAACCCTACTACTTCTTTGGGATGAGACAAAGTGTTCTTATGTGAACCTGGTTTCTATTCACTTACCGTATAGCCAAAGAGAAAGAGCCCAAAGAAAAGGCTGTAGAGGTCAGATGTCAGGATGCCCAGGTTCACTGAGGTGGCACTGGTAACTTTAATCACCAGTGGCATGAAGCTGTACAGGCAGAACATACAGAGGGCAAATGCCACGAACAGCAGGGCTGTGAAAACATGGAAGAAATCAGAAGTCAACGTGCTTAAGGCCTGGCTGCCATTTAAAATTGCTGGTCCTATAACATACTAGCTACAAAGCCCCTTGTTAATAACAGCATTGCAAATGATACGCACAACACCCTCAAAAAAAAGAAAGAAAGAAAGAAAGAAAGAAGAAAGAAAGAAAGAAAGAAAGAAAGAAAGAAAGAAAGAAAGAAAGAAAGAAAGAAAGAGAGAAAGAAAGAAAGAAAAGAAAGAAAGAAAGAAAAGAACAGTAAGATGTGACATAGATAAAGGACTTCAAAAATCCAACAGGGGCCTTGGCTGGTTTGGCTCAGTGGATAGAGCATCAGCCTGCAGACTGAAGGGTCCCAGGTTCAATTCCGGTCAAGGGCACATGCCCAGGTTATAGGCTTGATCCCCAGTGGGGGGCCATCCGGGAGGCAGCTGATCGATGGTTCTCTCTCATCATTGATGTTTCTATCTCTCTCTCTCCCTCTCCCTTCCTCTCTGAAATCAATAAAAACAAAAATAAAAAGTCCAATAGGGTGTTGAATGATCAAGCAGACAACCTTTACAAAAAGTCTGAAGACTCGAGATACAGATCTAGTATCTGTCACATGCAAGCTCATGTGACAAAGGTCTCTCTTGTTCAGAATTCCTGGTAAAGAAAGGCTATTCCTGAAGGTAAAGATTAAAAATTAACTTCTATGGAGGTTCATTTACAAGTTCTCAGAGGAAACTCAATGCAAACCACTATCCTGGGTATTGAATTACTCTGTGATTTTACAAAAATGCCTAAATATTACTAAAATGAAGTATTTATTTCTTGATGTGTGTCTTTGTCAGAGGAAAGGATACTGACTAAAACTGACTAAAAAGAATGATCATTTATGTACATACCAATTTTCCAGTCCCAATGAATGCTGGCAATATCCTTATATTCCATAAGCAATCTAAGGTTAAAACAAGAGGTCACAGAGAGGTGCACACACTAGTTTTCAAGTATAAGCACTTAATTGCTATACTTCAAATAAGGTGAGGAATTATGTTGACTTTTGAATTTTTCTTAGAGTATAAAATAACTATCTTTTTTATTAAAAATGACAAAGAAGAGCCCAGCTGGCGTGACTCAGTGGTTGAACGTCGACCTATGAACCAGAAGGTCACGGTCCAATTCCCGGTCAGGGCATATGCCCGGGTTGCAGGCTTGATCCCCAATGTGGGGCGTGCAGGAGACAGTCGATCAATGATTCTCTCTCATCATTGATGTTTCTCTCTCTCTCTCTCTCTCTCTGTTTCTCTCTCTCTCTCTCTCTTCCTCTCCCTTTCTCTCTGAAATCAATAAAAATATTCTTTTAAATGACAAAGAATAAGACCAAAAAGATCCATAAACTTATCTGACTGTCTTAAAGCACTCTTCAGTAGTAGTCAGCTATAAGAGAAAAATATGACATTGTGTTTTCCCTTTGGATAGGAAGTTAATATTTTCTGGAAATAATTGATAAAGAGACTCTTTACTGGTACTGCCTCTACCACATGTATAAGAAAATGAGACATAATTCTTAACATTTCAAAAATCCTCTAATATATAGGTAGCAAGTTACTGGTTTTATTTTATTTTTTTTAGTTTAAATTCTTTATTGTTTAAAGTATTACATGAGTCTCCTTTTTCTCCCTGGACGCTCCCATCCCCAAGCACATGCCCTCACCCTCCTACTGTCTGTGTCCATTGGTTAGGCTCATATGCATGCCTATAAGTCCTTTGGTTGATCTCCTCCCAGGTTGGACAGTCTGTTCGATGCTTCTATGTCTCTGGTTCTATTTTTGTTCATCGGTTTATGTTGTTCATTATAGCAAGTTACTGATTTTAAATGTGAGTTTGGGCCAAGTAAACAATGAATATTAGTAGTTGGGAAGTAATAACTTATGACATATTTGCCTATTTTGTTTTTGAGGAAAATTTTAGACTTACAGCTGTATGCCACTGATGATCGTTCCAAATAAGCCCAGCATTCCCAGAAACTCCTGCCTGCTCAGCTTCTTCACAATGTACTCTTCACACACATTAGAAATGGCATAGAGGGAAGCCCCAACCAGGACGAAGATGTCACCCATCAGTACATCGCTGCCTACAGAAAGACAAGCCACAAAAAGGAACAATTATCAATAGGAAAACCTGTTTAGCTTGCTCCTAGGAATTTATGTGGCTAGTGTTCACTTAAGATTAAGATTTTAAGGAAGGAGAAACCCTGATTTCTAGATGTTTAAAGACTCTTGATCTTCTTACTTTCTGGCACAATTCTGCTGTGATTTTTCATATTGTGACTGCTCAAGAGACTAACAGACTGGAAGACAGTGGTATATGCCTTAATGTAAGGTCTCAGAAAATCATTCTATGACATGAGAAATTAATGGAATCTATTGAAGGGAATTAATTTAAAAGGATAAGGAAGGAAGGTAGGTAAACAAGGTCATTTCTCTCTTAATGGAGATATTGAAGTCACTTGTAGGTTGGGTGAACTCATAGACCTTTTGAGATTTACACCATCAATTGTCTGAACCTTGACCCAAAGAATATCAAAGTATTTTCATCAACAGAGTAGACACAAAGTCTCTATTTGATTTAAAAAAAAATCTACAGTATATTTTCTAATAACTAATCCAAATGTATGGACCAAAAGAAGATTGCAAATATATAAAGAAATTTATTTAATGAAATGAAACAAAACCAGTGTGACAAAAAGGAACACGAACTGTGGGCAGGTAGGAGCTTTGTGGAAATGGTCACTATACCAGAAGCAAGTAAACCTGAAAATAAAATTGAAAAGATAGTCAACCAGGGCATGCTTCCTGCATTGTACTGTGTGTTTAAAAAATAAAAGTGAAAACCTAAGCAAAACTTTTCTCTGGGACTGAACCAGAAAGAAGTCACAGTCTTACCTGAATTGTCTCTCCTTGCTAGTATGTCTGCACCAACCATAGTTCCTACGCCCAGCAGACAGATAGCCACGGCAACGAAATGGATCACTCTGTATCTTGCATAAAGGATGAACCAGGAGAGAGCCATCAACACAGGAATTCCAAAGCAATCCAAAAGCTGCATGGAAGTAGAAACAGCTTAAAACACCTCTCATTAGCTAAGAGGTAGGTGATTAAATAACAATAAAAGTTAGCAATTATGCTCGGCCGGCGTGGCTCAGTGGTTGAGTATTGACTATGAACCAGGAGATCATGGTTTGATTCCCGGTCAGGGCACATACCTGGGTTGCAGGTTCGATCCCCAGTGTGGGGTGTGCAGGAGGCAGTCGATCGATGATTCTCTCTCATCATTGATGTTTCTATCTCTCTCTCCCTCTCCCTTCCTCTCTGAAATCAATAAAAATATATTTACAAAAAAAAAGAAAGAAGGAAAGAAAATACAATATATAGTACCCTTTGAGTTCTGTCTGCCATAATACCATTTGAAAATAATAATAATAATAATAAATAAATAAATAAAATAAAATAAAAGTCAAAGAGATATAGCCCTGGCCAGCTCTGTAGTTACGATGTCGGCCTATGGACCAAAGGGTTGCAGGTTCTATTCCCAGTCAAGGGCACCTACCTGTGTTGAGGGTTCAATCCCTAGTCCCTGGTAGGTTGGTCGGGGCATGTATGGGAAGCAACCAATCAATGTGTTTCTCTCAGATTGATGTTTCCCTGTATTTCTATCTCCCCTCCCTCCCTCCCTTCTCTCTAAAAATCAATGGAAAAAAATGTCCTCATGTGAGGATTAACAAACAAACAAAAGTCTGAGAGATAGTTGCTCAGTTCAGGAATTCTGCCCAAGAGCCTGTGCAAATTACCTCTACACTCCCTCCTGCGTTATCCTTAAACTCAATAAGCAAACTTTCCTACCTGCATGTACCCATTCACTCAGTCAACAAATATTTCAGCATGGAAAAAAACACTGTGAGGAGCTGGAATGTAGTGAAAAAGAGACCCCCTAGCCCTGCCCTCAGTAGCATACACAGGGCTAGACAGACGTGGCATAAATAATCACACAGCCAGATATTTCTGCCGTTGGAGTAAGAGCTACAAAAAGTACTGGTTATTATGAGAAAGCAAGAAGACACCATCTCCCTGACAGAGTCCAACCCCATTTTGTCAGACAAACACCTGCTCAGAGCAAATACTCTTGCTTGTCGTCACCTGTTGATCCTGGGTCCAGAAAATATTTGCTACACCCTCCTATTGCCAGTCTGAAAAGCAGGGGGATTAAGAGTGACAAAATGATAGCAAATCCAAAATTACTTGTAAGGTCAAGGAAAAATAGAGATTTCATTCACTCAGTTCTTCACAAATTTCGAAAATTCAAGGATAAAAGATAGTCCTTATAATATTCTTCAATCTGCTGTTTTTTGCATATCTTCTTGTTTTTAACCTTGTCCTGGATTTTCTCTATGTCTTTCTAATCTGGGACAAGGCAGGCCCCTAAATCTCCAGCAGCAGCCTGTTAGATCCTGCCCACAGTTGCTAGCTAATGGTCTTTCACTGCAGTGTCATTCCTGGAGTCAGATGCCTGTGCAGGAATGGGCGCCTTGCCTTGTTATTTATTCCAGCTGCAGAACTCTAATCTCCTAAGTGCTTTATCGAGCCTGCCTGAATAACAAAGCCTCAAACGATGCAAATGATAATAGCCTGTCCCAGAAGACACAGCAGAATCTGGCCGTAATGACTTAAAGTCTCAACTACATTCCTTAAGCAAAAAAGAAAAAGTCGCTCTAAAAATTTTCACAGGAGATTCCCTGTCCTTGAATCTTATCTTAAAATCAAACTTAAATTTGCTCTATTTTTAACAATTTTAGTGGGCAATCAGTGGCCATATAAAGGGAACTGCCTAGGTCATGGTAAGAGTTCCAGACTCCCCGGGCCCCCAACCAACTGTGTGAGTTACAACCAGTCACCCTCTAAGCCAAAATATGACATGAAGAGATCAGACCAAATGATCTCCTCACAAATCTCTCCCAACTCCAAAACTCCAGGACTTCTTATCTTATATCTATCACATCCAGCTATTTATCTACATTGAACCTCCTTTCCAAATGTATTCTTGGTGACTCTGATGCTTTCAGTTCCAAGAGTCCCCCTATTTTAATTTAATTTTTATAAATTATTGTGTGTATCCATAGTAAGCACGGTACTATGTAAGACCATGAGGGGCAGGGAAGGCATAAGTATAACATTGAGTTAGCCCTGGCAGCGTAGTTCAGTGGTTGATCATCAATCTATGAACCAGAAGGTCACGGTTCGATTCCCGGTCAGGGCACATGCCAGGGTTGCAGGCTCCATCCCCAGTGTGAGGCGTGCAAGAAGTGGCCAATCAATGATTCTCTTTCATCATTGATGTATCTCTCTCTCCTTCTCCCTTCCTCTCTGAAAACAATAAAAATATATTTTTAAAAATAAAAAATAAGTAAATGGTGATGGGGAAAAAATAAAGAAAATAAAAATATACCCCTTGCTGGAGCCCTAAGTACATAACTTTTGACAACCAAATGCTTAGGTTTTTCTAAGAGACTACAAGACATTTTGGGTAGTATACTGGTAAGGCATGAACTTCAGTCACCAAAACCCCAGTGCAAGTGTTTTAACACACCTTTGTGTTTAGACCTTGCACCAATTCAAATCTTCTAATTATTATTAGTCAGAGATCAAAGTTTCTGGAAACTGTAGCCAAGTAATTGAATTACGCGTGAGATTATGAGGGTAGATGTGACTAGAAAATGCTATTTTCTACATTCTCCCTGCCCATTGTTTAACGCACAGTTAATACTAATTGTGATGAACTTCACCCTCTAGGAAACTAACTTCCGGTTTTAATTTTTATGAGAATCTGGGTTTTTCCATGTACCTCCTATGTCTGACAACAAATATTTCCTATCAGGGCTTTGAAGCTCATGCCAGTGAAAAACCAAGAGGTCTGCTGTGGACCGTGCTTAGCACCACGTGACAGAAAAGAGAGCATTTAATAAAATGCATTCTGGTAATAATAGCACTTAATGTATATTCACATTGGAAAAATACTGAGTTTCCATCTGTCCTTATGTTTTCCAAATGAAGTAAGTCTAATCTCACTTCAATTTTTCTACATTCCTAAAATTTGGAGATCAAATAAAACATCTCTGTTTTACATAGTGAGAAGAACAATGCATCAGAAAGTTATAAATTCATTAAATGGTGAAGTCTAAACCCGCAATGGCGTCTATCTCGCTTTCACCTCCATTTATAAAACATTTTGTTGTTAGTACTGGTGACTCAGTGTTACGATACTTCCCATAGTTTCCTAACATTACAACAACTGCATCATGCACCCATCACCCAAAGCAAAGTCCCTTTCCATCCCATTTATGCCCCCTTTGCTCACCTCTACCTACTCCCACTCCCTTTCCCATATGTTTTTTGCTTAATTCCTTCACCTTCTTTCATCCAGCCCCCCATCCTCCTCCTCTCTGACAGCAGTTAGTCTGTTCCATGTATCCATGCCTCTGTTTTTATTTTCTTTGCCAGTTTCTTTTTTGTTCATTAGAGTCACAGACACCCAATAAATTCAATTTTAAAAAAGGCAACTGAATGGGTCTGACTCAACTCCACCGGCTGAAAAATCCTGCTATTTAGGTACCTATTTCTTTCAATCAAGCAAAAACCCAATAAACAAATAAGGATATAAGCTTTGCCTTTGGCTACCATCTCTACCAAGACGTCTAGCAGATTCCTTCCAATCGCTCCTTTGGTTGAATACCTACTTGCAAACCTCCCACTTTTCTGTAGCACAAATGTACAGCCACTTTATGTGCCATGTGTGAGCACCGTATAAAGCAGAGCTCTCGTCAACATCACAGCATCGGTTGCCAACTAAATATTTATGCTTATTTGGGAAGACACTGTTCTAATATGCTACCGCATTTGCAGTTTGGGAACTCATTAACTCATGTACATGTTCCCTAATTCCCAGCTGCTTACTCACTAGCGCATATGCTCCTCTGAAAACAGATAGCAACCACCTGTGTTTAGGTTTTCTTCGAGTGAACAGGTTCGCCACAAAATGAGGTTAACACATACGAGTTCAGATTCTTCTCTTAAAACTATACAAGCCAAATTGGTCAGAGGATGCCCTCTCACCTGGACGCTGGTGAGAGTTGTGTACTGGTATGCTTTGACAATCAGGTAATTCGCTTCCACGTCTGCTAGGCCCAGCAGGATGTACTTCCACCATTTTCTTTTCAAGATGTGTAAAAGGCTATCAGGGCCTGGTTGAAAGACATCTGGGTTAGTACATGTTCCTTGAAAATGAAGCCGTGCATGTTTATTTATATTTACTGTGTATTTTGGAAGTGGCCCCTCCTAATGCGTACAATAGTTCCTACAAATTCCTACAACAGTTCAACAGAATCAAATTTTTATAATATGAGACCCAGCTAAGGTGTCATCACAGACCAATTGTTCAATGAAAACACCAGAGAGACAGTAAGTAGAGAAAAGTGGTTAAATTCCTCCCCTCCTTGTGACAGAAATCTAATATCTAAAACAGGTTTGGATGTTGCCATTCCTGACAAGCTACCGATTTTCCTAGGAAATGCAATGTTTTCTTATTAATTCATTGGCTATGGAACCTCCATTCATGGACTTCTTCAAAGGAAACTCTGCCTTGGTCATTATTTTAAAAGAGATGTGTTTTCAAAAAAATAAAATTAAAAAAAAAAAAAAGATGTGCTTTCAAGAGAAAAGTACATCAGTTATAAGTTTGGAAAAAAGGATTTAGTGGCACCAGTGAAGAAACACCTTTTATTCACCAAGTTCTATTTATTCAAGTTAACTATGATTCACTTCTTTGGAGAATCTAGCATCGCAGGATACAGAATTGGAACACAGATTAGAAGGCTTCTTGTAAGATAACCTACAAGGAAATAAAGGTAGTGAGACTCATAGTCAGGTAATTATCATTAAAACCTAATTTACAAGAAAATCCTGAAAGCACAGTCAGTCTTCCTCGACACGAGATGGTACGGAAGGGACCTAACAACCATCCCTTAGGGAGACCGTATTGCTGTGTTTATGAATCACACGAATTTACTAAAAGCCAGTGCTTACAGAGAAGAGCAAAGTCCCTACTAGCCATGTATTAATACCAGTTCTATATCCAACTCCTAAAGCTCTTGCCAAATTTGGTGCATTACCCTTCAGATGGTTTCCCCACTCCTACCACTGGTTTCTATTTTCTTTCGAAGTACGTTTTTTATCCTGACACATAGGAAAACCATTGATGCTTTAAGGTTCATATTAAAAGAGGGTTAGCACCCTGGCCAGTGTGGCTCAGTTGGTTAAGTGTTGTCCTGTGCACTAAAAGGTTGTCCAGGTTGCAGGCTCAATCCCCAATAGGGGGTGTGCAGGAGGCAGCCAGCCTATATTTCTCTCTCACATCAATGTTTCTCTCTCTCCCTCTCTCTCTCTCAAATCAATTTTTAAAATATTTAATTTTTCTAAAAAAGAGGATTAGCAAGTCTGCTCTTATTATGGTACTTTTATTGTCTTTTAAATACGATGAAAATAGAAGTATTGCAACCACCCAATTGATTTGGTTGAGTTACCCATTGTCCTCACATCCCTAAATTCGATCTCACTTAATTTATTTTATAGTACCGTGCTCTTTTCTTGTGAGAAGAATCTTCTTAGCATGACTAGGAGTCCCTAATACAGATTGGTGGTGAGAGCATGGGCTCTGGCGGGGGATGGGGGGAGGGGGGGGCGCGTGGCTGCCTGCCTAGGTTGGAATCCTGGCTCACCAGTTACCACCTATATGACTTAGAGCAAGTTATGTAAGTACTACCTGCCTCAGTTTGATCATCTGTAAGGTGGGGATAGTAATAATATTCACTTGACTTGTTGGGAGTCTTCAATGAGTTTATACCAAACCTAGATGAGTTAAGCAATTAAAATGATGTCTGGCACAAAAATGTTTGTCAGAACCTAGTTTTTCCCTTTTTTGTGTAGCTAGTGAGAAATGATAATTCTGTGATGATTCTAAAACAACTTAACCAGTCAGTGATAAAGATGTTAATTCCTTCCCAATTCCCTGTCTTTGTTTCTCTCATAACATAGATTTGACCTACATGCAGTCGATGCTCCATTTAGCATTCTCCACTTAGCTGCATATACAGCCTTTGAAGAGTGAGGTTCTTGACTTCAAGTGTTTTTAATATTGTCTCTTAATCTTATCAACCTAACTTGTAATAGCATTTACACTTTTAATTTTTATGACAATTTGTACTGTTCCAGTTTGGTGCTACTTATTTTAATCAACAATGCCAGAGATGATGCATGAATCTCTAATTGGTACTTTCACAGAATTCAGAGGTGTCATACTTTTCTAATGACTTTTATAAAGGCAGCAATAGTTTGTCCTGTTCTTACTTTTGCCTCATGTTTCATTTTTTAAATGCCTAAAAGCCACGTTTTTTAATGAAGATAGGTCACTGAAAAAGTTAATTCCCACACTCGGCATACCTGATTGAAATGCCAGCATCACTGTATAAACTAGAAACAGCAAGCAATAGTTGATAAAGCTCTGAAGCATGGGGGTGTTCACTTCATATTTTTCTGCCAAATACTGGCTGGTGATGGCTGTTCCACATATACACAAGGACAATATCTGACCCAGGGCAATTGTTTTCAAAATATTCCTAGAAAACAAAGAAGGAAATCTGAATAACATGCAAGTAAGTTATACCTCTGACACAAACACGAACATGCACAACACACAACATACAACATATACTTTAGTGCTCAACGAAAAGGGAAATGCTAGTTATTCCTGTTGTGTCATTATTTAATTTTATTGCTTACTTCATATGTACAAAAATTAAAGTGTTGGATTTTTTTTCTCATCACCATTTATCCCCCCTCTGCCCTTTCTACCTTCACCAACTCCTCTCCCCCACCATCACCGCACTGCTGTCCATGTCCATGAGTAAGTGTTGGATTTTGAGATTTTATTCTCTTTAACATTTCTGATTTCCCTCATTACCACAAAAATACGTATTTTCCCATTTTATTGTCCACCCATTTAGAAATCATTTTGATTACTTAGCTATGTGATACACTGTTTGAAGTGAGTTTGTGTGTATGATTTTTAAAAACTCAGTTTTCACTTGTTGTAAGGCCTTCCTATTCATTAAATGTTTAGCATAGTCTCATCCTTTCCTTCTCCTAGTCTTGATTTCTTCAGCTAGAAGTAGAGGTTTTCTATGTTACCTACATGTTAGAATCACAGCGCCTTTTTTGTTTGTTTGTTTTTTATCTCTATTGTTGAAAGTATTGCATAGGTCCTCCTTTTTCCCCCAATAACCTCTTCCAGCCTGCTCCAGTCTGCCCCGCGCCCCCGCCACCGAAGGCCCTCACCATTATTTTCTTTAATATATATTTGTATTGATTTCAGAGAAAGGAAGGGAGAGGGAGAGAGAGAGAAACATCAATGATGAGAGAGAATCATTGATCGGTTGCCTCCTGCACACCCCACACTGGGAATCGAGCCCACCACCCAGGCATGTGCCCTGACTGGGAATCGAACGGAGAGCCCATGGTTCATAGGGGAAGCTCAGCCACCGAGCACACAGCCGGGCAATCAGAGCACTTTTAAAAATGCCAACATCAGGCTACACCTGAGACCAATCACAGCATCACCTTTGGTGTGGATTCCAGGCATCAGTGATGTTTGAAGCTCCCCAAGTGATCCCAACACGCAGTCAAGACTGTGATTCACTGCGCTGGAGGCTGGCACTTTGGATCCAAAGAAGAGTAAAACACAGACCCTGCCCTTTAGCATTTTAAGAGAGAGAGGCACCTGAACAGCCCACTGCAAAACAGTAGTCTGGGACAGCGGTGCAAGCAGAGTGCTATGACAGACAGCATGCAGGTGCCACCGATTCATTCTGAGTGAGGCCTCGGCCCGCAGGGAACACTGGGGAAGGCTTCCCGGAAGATGGGGTTTTCAGACAAGTTTGGAAGTATATGAAGGAGGAAGGAAGGAAAAGGGAATACAGAAAGAAGTAACTAGGACCAAATGCAGAGGCACACACAGGCAGGGATGGGCTCAGGGAGCACCAAGAGGCCCAGTGTGCCTGGGGCATAAGGGCAACGGCAGAGAGTGGTCGGCAAATGGAAGAGTTGAGGCCAGATCGTGAAAGGTTGAATAGCAAACTCAGAAATTAGGCCTTTATGCCATAGGTGGCTGGGAGGCACGAAGGTTTCGAACAGAGGGACTGATGAAAGTGACTCTGGTGGTTAGGAAAAGAAGAACTGATGAGAAGAGAACGAGGCAGAGAAGCAGTTAGAAAGCTAATACAATGGCCCAGGCCAAAGCGAGACCTGACTGAAAGCCATGTCAGCATGAACGGAAAGCAGAGAATGACATGAAAGACTCCACACAGCCCAGCACACCATTAGCTCTCGGGAGGAGATGCTGAAATGATATCTGGGTTTCTAGACTAAATGACTGGATGCCTATGGGGCTACTGACCGGAACAGGAAGACAGGATGAGAAACAGGTTTGGGGCAAGGGGAGAATAGTGAGTTCCATTTGAGAGCAGTAGAAATTGAGGTGCCTGGAACCTTGTGGGAAGGGAGGGTGGGTGGACAATACGAAGCTTGGGAAAGGTGGCCTCTAAGGTGCGCCCAGTGCATCTGTGCTTCCTGGTATTGTTGCCCCAAGTGATCTCCTCCTCCTGAGTGGGGGGCGGGGGGGAGGAGGGTAGGAATCTATGACTCAGTTCTAACCATTAGAACACAATGAAAGTAATGGGATGTCATTTCCATGAATATATCACGTGAGGTCATTACTTCCATCATGCTAGGCAACTCTCTCTATTAGTTCTCTTCCTTGCTGGCTCTGATGAAACAAGCTGCCATATACAGAGGCTCACATGTCAAGGACCTGAGGGTAGCCTCTGGCCAACAACCAGCAGGGAACCGAGGCCCTCAGAGCAAAAGTCCACAAGGAAATGAATCCTGCCCAACCAAAATGAGCTTGGAAGCAGGTCCCTGCCCAGCCAAGGCTGCAGATGAGACTCTGCCCTGGCCAACACCCCAACTGCAGCCAGTGTGAGACCCTGAAGCCATGCCCAGATGCCTGATCCATAAAAACTGTGAGATAATAAATGTGTGTTGTCTGAAACCACTAAGTTTGTGGTCATCTGTTACACAGCAAGTAGGTAACAAATATAAGGTTAAAACTCTGGACTTCAGAAAATTAGACCATATCTGATTTGCTCTCCACTACATATCCAGTGCCTGGTACTTGGTTGTCACTCAGTAAATATCTGTGGAATAAATATAAATTGATAAAGAAGTGACTATATTTGCCCAAGGTAAGACTCCCCGCCCCCCCTTCCAATGAAATGCCATAGTCAGAGAGACAAGTTATGAGAGTGCCCTGACACAGAAGCTAAGAGTGGGAAAACATTTTAAGAAGGAAGAAATCAATACTGTAGTGTCCAAAACTGCAGAGGGAAGAGGTGGCCTTACAGCTAAAGAGACACAGTTGGGCTGGCAAGCTGGAAGTCGCTAGAGATCTTTGAAGGAAAGCTTTTTGTTAGTGGCAAAGCCTAAAGTCAGATTCCAGTGGGCTGAGTGAAAAGATAAGCACCAAACAGAAATAGCTCTTTTTTTAAATGATGAAAAGGAGAATAGGAATGGGATAAGAGTTTGGAGATTAATATTATCTTATTAAAGCATTAAGGAAACGTATAGATGTTTGGGAAATGAGCAAAGGCAATACGAGTAAAAGCTTGAAGATTGGCAAAACAATTTAAGAGATGATGAAGACGACAGTGCCTGGAAGGTTTAGGGGCGAGGACGGAGAACACTGCAACTTTTATTTAAAATGTTCTCCATATAAATACTTCCTTCCAGAGTTGTTTTACACAAAGTAAAAAATAAATAAATAAATAAAAAAGCCAAAACAGCAAACACAGAATAACTCTTCTGAAAGTTTGCCGTATATTCTTTTCTCTGGAATATTTGTTTCAGTAACACGCAACTAACCCCAAACAATCCCTGCACAGGGCAGAAAAGAAAGGGGAAGTTTGCCGGGTGGGACAACCCTAAACACACTTGTAGGGCATCTACCACGCGTCAGGGTTTGAAGATACAAAACTGAACAGGCTCTCTCTGTGCCTCGGGAGCTCGGATACTACTGGAAATACTAGTCAGTAGGCACGTAAACTAGCAATGAGGGCACAGGCAGACCAGTGGGAAAATAGGCTAGCTTAAAAGAACAAAAAACTCAAGAGTTCACTAGCTAGCACAGTAAGGAAAGGCATTCCAAGCAGAAGGAACACCACACACCAAGCACGGAGCTGAAACAATATGGTACATTCGGGGGCCTCAGGGGGTCGGGGTAGCTGCCGCACAGAGTGTAGGAGAGCAACACAGCAGCAGGTGAGGGTGGAACAGCCAACAGGAGCCAGATCAGGACGGTGGTGAAGTCATCCCAATCGCCTGAAGAGGGGGGAGCAAAGTGATTAGCAAGGTGGGAATCGAGCATTTCTAGATACGTCACAGCACATACATCGTGGCACAAAGAACTAAGCCTTACCCTTCGCTCCAACATGAAAGCAAAATAAACAGGAAAGGTGGCAGAGACGGAGCAGTCTAGAATAATACTCAGTTTTCTGGATCAGATAACTGGATAGACAGCAATATGGTTCATCAATATCCCAAAAACAGGAGGAAAAGGCACATTTGGAAGGGAGAATGAATCCAGTCGAGAAGAAATGTCCAGTAGGCAGTTTGGAGCTGAGAAAAAGGACCGAGCTGAAGAAATAAATTTGGAAATCATGAGGTGGTAGCTGAAAGTTGGGATATAAATGAGGTCGGGACACAGGCCTAAAACTAGAAAAGAGGGTTAAGAAAAACAGTCTTGAAAACAGCAACATGTAAAGGGCTGGAGGAGGAAGAGGAATTGTAGATGGAGACGAAGGGGCTTGGCCAGAGAGGCAGAGAGAGAACAGGGAAGGAAGAGCTTCCTGGAAGCAAGAGGAAATGGTGTTCCAAGGAGGAAGTGCCCTGGAGCTAGGACCGCAGCAAAGCCCCGTGCTCCGCCTGCTCCTCTCCCTCCCACACACCCAGCATCTGTACTGCAGCAGGAGTTGGTGTGATGGTCACCTGATGGCATCCCTCCCACACCTCAGACCTTTTAGTAGCTCCCCTTTGCCCTCAGATGAAAGCCAAACTTTTAAATGGCCTCTGAGGCACCCTACCATCTGACCCCCGCCTAGCTCTCCAGCCTCATCTTGGGCTACTCTCTCATAGCTTTAAGTTTTAATCTTTTAAAATTTCCTAAAAGATATTTAAAATATAATAAAGTATATGCATAATCAACATGGATTCATATATCTACTAGGCAGCTTAAGAAAGAAAATATTGGCAACATCAACATATCCCCCTTGTGTTTTCCACTTGGCATCTATCATTCCATGTATTTCTATATATTTTAATATTTACATAAGTATCCCTAAAGTACTATATGTGTACTTTTGCAACTGGCTATTTTATTTTTATTTTTTTATGGTGTTTTTCCAGTTCCCTTTGCAAATTCTTTTTTCTTTTTTTTTAATATAGTCTATTGATTTTTTACAGAGAGGAAGGGAGAGGGATAGAGAGTTAGAAACATCGATGAGAGAGA